GTAACAACTTTTGACAAATTGAAACAACATACCAGCGTTACTTATTGTGCCAGCCATTGACTTAAAATGTTTACATTTATCAACATTAATATAGTATCAAGTGAGATTTTTTTCTTTTATTAACTAAGTTATGTGTAGATCTAAACACTTTTCCCCTCAGAGGTTTTAGAGCTTCTTGCACTGTAAATCTGCAGTAGTTTTTTTTCTTCTTCTGCCCATTAAATAAAACAGGAAACACTGAGCTCTTGTTTAGTAAGCCGAAACTATCACCATCTTTGGTTTTCTTATTTTCATTTTGATAGAAAGTAGTAGCAGATTTGTGTTGGAGGGATAACTTATGTGCCTCAGTTAATTCCCATCTGTTTAAAAGTTGTTTCTTGTTTGCTTAATTTGGTACTGCTTGCACAAACTTTGGGCCTTATTGTTCATTTTGTGAGAATATTGTTGTATTTTCTGTCTGACAGTTGGGATATTATTGCCAAAAATTGTTTAAACGTCAGAAGACGTTGGTTGTGTATGTTAAAATGTGCTCTTTTTCCATATTTACCTACGATCTCATTGGAAGACTAATATAAACCTAACATAAACCAGCATTTTGGAAGGATTCTTGAAGACATAAACAGAATTATCCACWGTTAGTGACACGCTGCATGTTCTCTTGATAATTAAAAGTTGCCAGTTCATACTGAAGCCATGAATGTTGCCAGTTTTGTAGACAATGGTTTGTGTTGCCAAAATGAATTGCATCCCGTGAGCACGAAAAATAACCTTAAACTCAACTCCAGTCGACTACCTCCACCGTCTCTCCCCTACAGGGCAGGTGAAGAATTGACACTCCTGTGTTGTGACTTGTATGCACTGTGATAGCAGACATGCTTTGATGAAGTTCTAGATTTTATTTTTCATTTATTCTTAAACAATAAATGTCACATTTAAAAAATCCATCTTTTGTCTTGTTTTGTTTGTGTGTGTGTGTGTGTGGGTGTGATTGGTGGGGGGGGGGGGGGGGGGGGGGGGGGGTGTCTATGGGTACGCTTTTGCTACATCGTTGGAACCATTTTCCAGAAAAAGGCAGCCTTGTAGGGACCCAAATATGCATCGTGGGGACCAAAGCCCGGTCCTCATGGGTACGGATGCTAATTTTGGGTAGGGTGTAAATTGAGTTTAGGTTAGTTTTAGGGTCAGGTGGATACCTTTAAGGTGTTTAAAATTACCAGAAAATTAATGTAAGTCAATCCACGGTCCCCACGGGGATATAAAAACAAACCTGTGTGTGTGTGTGTGGACACATTTTTTTATATGTTGTGGGAACTATTTTCTGGAAAAACACAGTCATGTAGGGACTCACTGCTCCTCATGGGGACCAAAGCCTGTCCCCATGGGTATGGACGCTGATTTTGGGTGGGGGGTGGGGTTAGGTTCAGGACAGGTGTGAATTGAGTTTAGGCTAGATGTAGTGTAGATGTACTGGGGTGTTTAGGTTTAGGGTAAAGGTTAAGGGTTRGGCTATAGAATGACTGAAAAATGAATGGAACTCAACCCAAAGTCTAGATATAAACAATTACAAATGTATAATCCCTCCAGTTCTGGGTCTGCCCCGGGGTCTCTTCCCAGAAAACCTATAGAGCACAAGCGTTAAACTCCAGTCCTCAGGGGTAGATATTGTGCATGTTTTCCTTGTTTCCCTTCTCAAACACACCTGATTCAGTGATTAAATTACCTCTTCAGATTCTGTAAAATCAGGCATGTATGAGGATCAGATTTTGACACCAGTGCTAAAGAGAGGCATCCTAACCAGATGTCTAAACCACYTCTACTGACTCCTTTTGAGAAAGAGAGCATGTTTTTAATTATATTYCTGCTTTAATAGAAAATAAAGTGTTTAAAATAAAAATATTTTATTTTTGTCACAAGAAAATGAGCATTTCTAAGTCAAAGCTGATTAATTATTGACTCAGTAGTCCTTAAAACGTGTGGCCCTCCACAGCATTTTATGTGGCCTGCAAGATCTTTGAAGATGTGTTAATATGCTGCTTTAATGTCAGCATTGATCATAAACTGCATCTCCCATAATGCATGTTGATTATTTTACCTGCAAAATGGTGGCACTCAACCACTAGGTGGAGATGCACRGGGTTCAAAACCAGACAGCAGCCGGCAAAATTTGCAGTGTAAAGTTTTCTTTTTGCTTCGTTTTTGCTGGCTACCTTTGCTGCAGCCCAGTTGTACTGGGAAGTGGTAATTTCCCACTTATAAGTCGTACATTTAAACAACATCGGAACACCCGCAGGGAACACCCCTCCAGTGGGAATTCCCCGTCTAAAATCGGGAGACTTCAGAATTCAAGATGGCGGCTAATCGCAACTGATCAGTGTATAAAACTCTCTTTATTTATTAGTATTTCTGTATTATTTATTTCACATTCAGTCAGTCGCACACAGTACTTTTCAGTGTTTATGAGCGGATGTGTTAAAATGCTGTTTCTGTGCACGAAATACCACACAGAGCTGTTTATTGTTTGTTTGCAGTGCTGAACCAGAGCAACGAAGCGAGGAACGTGAGATTTTGTGTTTAATTACAACTGTCCCTTATGAGCAAGCAAAAGACTCACGTGGCCTTTGATGAAAATCATTTTGACACCCATGCCTTAAAAGAATACACGCAAAATGTATTTTTTTTTTTGTGGAAATCTTCTACAAGTGGTTAACTTTTGTAGACAACTCAAATGACCTAAGAAATAGCAAAATGGCTACCATTACCGCCCAATCAATTTTACAAATATTGAGCTAAAATTTGATGCAGCAGCTGATTCATGATAAATTACAGAAAAACCCTGAGTGCAACATTGTACTGACATCATTTGTCAACATAAGATGGATGTTAAAACTGAAATGACCTTCAGGATCAGTTTAAGATGGGAGTCTGGTTGTCTGTCCACAACCATTTACGGTGGAGTGTAATCCTGGTGACAACACTRGACCCAATTACAGCAAATTACTGTGTAATTACAGGAGATGACACCCAGAGTCTAAAGAAGCCATGCATGTTCACATTACAGGCTGATCAGACCCAACGTATACATGATGTAACACGGACAGAATGCACAAATAAATTACAGCAACGAGAGTCAGGCAGATGCAAACCGCTCCACACGTTTGCCAAACTTTAATTTATTGAGACTTTTGCAGTTCAATGCAATTCACAGCTGTCCACATCTGGTTTACATCACCCTCGATCTTTTTAAAACACGTCATATTTGTACAAAATGTTGATTTTCTTCTTATGGAAAGCATTAAGAATTAGTTTGAATTAGTTTTTAAAAAATCCCTCATATTATTTTGTCCCAATAAATAAAACGGAACGAGGAACATGAGGAAATGCAATGAATCACAAACATGATCCTCAAACGCTGACCAGATAAAACCAACAGAAGGACATGTGTACACAACAGTGAAGCAAAAACTAAATCAAACTAGACATGGGTTTTTACGATGTAAAAATAGCTGTGCATTACCACGTAGCATGTCATTGCAGCATGGCTTTGCCTGCAGCATTGGACTTGCAGAATGAACTTTGATCAAGTTCAAATGTGTTTTCTATACCAGCTTGTGCCTGTCACATCAGCAGGTGTTCAGAATTAAGGTAATTGTGTGACAATATGAAGTTTGAAGAGATTTTTTTCTTAAAGTTGCATTAGCCGGGTCTTGAACCCTGATCTCCCACATGAAAGTCCATGACATAGACCATTAGACCAGTGGTAGAAGGTGGTGCCAGGGGTTGGTTTGTATGTGTGCAGAAAGAGGTCACTTTGCCAATACAATTATTGACACTAAACTGCATAATATTACAACAATAGAGCAGTATTAAGACAATATTATAGTAAAACATCAAAATACAATCATATTAGTATTGTAAACACTGAACTATTGAGATTAAATATCATTAAAGTATGGAGCAGTACAAAGTTGAGTACAGCATGTGGCAGTATTGGACCATTACAAGGCCCCATTGACTCCCATTATATGAATTTGGAATAAAGTTTAAACATTAATTTTTCAAAAACTACAAGTTGTACAGGCACCAAAAAGCAAAGCAATCATTTGGCACAGGACCTTTACAGATAGAAATTACAATGGCAGCTGTAGCACAAAGTATGCAGGAGCATTGGACTTTCAGAACGAACTTTGACCAAGTTCAAATGTGTTTTCTATACCAGCTTGTGCCTGTCACATCAGCAGGTGTTTGTAATTAAGGTAATTGAGTGACAATGAAGTTTGAAGTGATTTTTGTTAAAGTGGTAGTAGCTGGGCATTGGCAATGCACACTGATAAAATGCAAAATGCTGAATTTGTGATCGAATAACAAAAAATAATGTTTTCACATTAGAAGCAGAAATGTTTGTCGCCCATTTTGG